AGCTTTGGGTAGACAATGGTAAACATAGGCTGGCTGCAGCGGTGGCAGTGTCCCAAGGGACAGTGCAGCAATTCCAAGAGGCTTTTGGGTAGCGAGATTGGAGTCAGAAAGTTCAAATCTAGAGAAGAAAAGAAACAAAAAAGGCTTGTAACAAAACAATTGCATGATAAAGTCAAACAATTTGGAAAATCAGCTGTCTCACATTCTTAAGACTTTGTCAAAAGAACAGCAAGGTAACACAAATTACCACAATTAGGGTGAAGCACACGGTGCTTTCCATGTGTAAGTTCAAAAAGTTAAACTGATATGTATAAGTTTAGCATCTGTAGGCATAAGATTAACTGGGCCCAAATACCCAGGTGAAAATATTATAGCTCAAGCAAATAATAAAAACCAGTAATATACCATAAAGCATTTTTAGACACAAAGATGATCTAAACAGGTATTTGGTAATGAATAACAATACAAAATTCTGAAAAGGACATCAGTAGTATTTTACTAAAATATTTCAGCAACCAATCCAGCAGGATAGCTAAGCTCACTAAAAAGCCCAGACCAGACCATCAGCAAAAAGGGATCTGAAATATTTAGAATTACTTGAAATACAACCCAGCCCAGCATAATTCTCACAGGTCCAACCAAAGAGACCACTCTAAAAAGATCAATACATTCATAATCTCTTAAGTGTGCCCCCACAGTTTACAAGATGCCATCGTTTTCACCAAAAGGGACTCCAGGGTCATTTCATGGGAAAGAGCAATCATTTTCTCAGGCCTGGCCCAAGCCACATAGTGTTTTATAATTTAAAACCAGCATGCTAATCTCCATCTAGAAACTGAGAGACAGCCAAGACAGGTGAATGAGTTTAGGTGCTGAGTAATCAAGACAAGATGCAGTACCTGATAAATCAGTTTTGCGATATCACACTAGTTTCAGCTTTCAAACACTAAGGTTTAACCCCATACACAATGTACCACAACAGCATCAATTGAGATGACAGGCATGACGAATAGTACATTTGCGTCAGAAGGAAAAGGTCACATTCTGTAACCAAACAAAGATTGAGGAAAAGTAGTCCAGTCGCTTCTGTCATACTTACCTAGCAGCTGCCTAGGATTTAATAGCACCCTTGAAACTGCAAATTTAGGCAGTGATCGATCAAATCTGCTACTTTAATCATATGCGCCACCTGCTTCCCCAGCACACCATTATCTTACACTTGTCTGAACTATGTATTACTCCTGCCTCACTGAAATGTGGGTGTTGTGGGTGGGTAATGCACACAGCCTTTAATGAGGTCACTCAGAATAAGATATATATGTGTGTGTATATGTATATATAAATGTATACAAAGACTACATAGTACTTCTAGTTTGCTACACTGTAGGCAAGATGGTGAAACCTTTTTTTTTTTAACTATCTTTTTCAGGTTCTGCACCTTGGCTGCAACTAGATATAATCCTCACAGCCTTGTAAAAACCATCTACAAACCATTTCTTAAACTGATTTTGCAGTGCTATCTTGCTATTCCGAAACCAAACTTCACCAGCATTTTCAGGAACCACATTCACAGTCATATTCCAGAAATCATTGTGCAAGTCACAACGGGGTGAGAAAAGTAGTTACTGCTGATTTAAAAAATCTCATACCTGATGCTCTCAAACTTCTTTTCAAAGACTAGAATTTTGCAAATCAAAATGAAATGGCATTCGTCATTGTGTAATTTTGGTGCAGCTATATCCTGATACTAAACAACTAAAAACCTCCCCCTCTTCCCTCCATATGCAGAAACACAAAAAATACACAACTGCAAACTGCAAATTAATATGTCCTCTATGTCAGTAAATACATTCTCCACAAAGCAGTGCATTTTCATATGAGCACAGGCTTGTATGGTTATCCCACCCCTCAACATGAAGCTTCTTCCCTACAGCAGATTTGCTGCAGACCTCCTTGTACACTTTTCCTGGCAAAGCAATAGTTCAGCAGTTATGATTTACTCCAGTGGCCACGGTACAAGTGACCCCTTATCATAAACCCTCTAATCTTTCCATCGTAACTCTCCACCCTTCTGCTTTCTACTTTCACCTCTAAAGCTGACGAATTCCCAAGGTGCCGTGAATAGGGGAGAATCACAATACATCCAGATCTGACAAAATCTGAATCTGCAGGATATCATCAGATATTGCTAACTCATGTGATTGCATGATGCATAACCAGATGAGCCAAGGGCCACTTTACAGCAAAGAGTCTGAATTAGGGCAGAAGTAAAACAGCTCAGCTGTCACGCTGTACTGAAATGGCCAAGGGCTGCTAGCATTTCTTTTGCCTTATGTATAACAAGTCTGCCAGTTTAGGAGTGTGCTGCCTGGCAAGAAGTTGCATTGTTGGCTGATGCATCTAATCTTGCCTCGGGAACTGTATTTCTCATCTCCTATTTCCATTAAAGAGTTTCTCCTGCAAAAAGCGTCCTTCTTTATGCAGTCCTCAAGAAAGAAACCATTTGTAAGCACTACTCAACCTTAAAAATAGTCTTTGGATCTCTGTTTTTTGATATTGGACATTTTTGTTCTAATACAGCATTTCAAACATAATTCAATTAAATAAATCTTTGAAAATATTAACCCTTGCACAGCTCTTTGAAGAGCTATTTGAAATGTTCCTATCACTGCCAGAAAAGCACTTCCACTCTTTCTGTAATCTGAAGAATGCACAAATTTCATACCTTTTAAAAATCTGTAGTAGGTGTTATAGAGGGTCCTCATGGCCAGTTCTTGCAAAGGCAGCACATGATCTGTTTCTGTCCCTATAGATTTCACCTCTGCTGGCAAGAACACAGTTAACTGGCCCGATGAAAAAGAGAGCAGTTTCACCTCTGAAACTTGAATTGGAGAACCACAACTAGAAGGACAGAAGACATTTAGAAAGTGGTGAGAACAAAAATAGTGAAAGTAACTTTATGGGGAAACCCAGATGACCAACCCAAAGTATGCCTGATACTGTTCTTCAGTTCAGCACCCTTCGAGGATTCCTTGCGGAGTGCCATACATGTTGACACACTTTTTCTATAGATCCCCACCTTCTGTGACGTGCTAGTCATGGGACATCTGGAGGTCTTTACTTATCAAATAACATTCAAAACCTGGAGAAATGAGAACACAATCCCAAGGAGGTGAACCAAGTGCACTACATGTCCCTTACACTGCCAACACGCTAATCTGTTTTAGGCTCTGAATGCCGTTACTACTAAATATTTTACATAGGGGAGCAGTTTCATACCGAACAGTTGGCTTCCTGTGCCTTGGATCAACCAGTTGAGAATGGTATTGGATTTCTCAGCTACAATATGTGAGGCAAACTACAACCACCAAAAATATCATTTAAGTGCCACTGGGTGATTCTGTACCTTTCTCCATCCACAGAGGTCCCTTGAGGGTGCAGGAGCGTGAGTGAAGGAAAAATGAAAAGAACAGCCTAAGCTGTGGTGGGTAGATACCCTAGTAAGTCTACTAGCCTTGTCCTTCCCAAATCATAGAAAGAAAAGGAAGGCTATTTGGATCCAGAGAAACTTAGCTTGTAGTAAAAATAATAACTCTCTACATGATCCCTGTTGCAAGCTATCATACCAAAAAGACACGCATAGGAAAATTCTACTAAGAGGTTGGGGAAGTCAAGAGGGGAATCCGAATTGTTCATGACAACTTAAATTTGAAGCCAAGAGCAACTTGTTAGGGCCAGTCCTAACAAATGGAACAGAAACACAAATTTGTCAGCCTTCCCAGATATTGGACCTAAAACTGAGGTAACTACGCTCAACCTTATCAGATGTGAAAGAAGTCTCATAGTACTTCTCTGATAACAAAGAATCTCATCTCCTCTGATTAAAGGAAAAACAGCCCAGAGAAACAAGCAAAAAAGAGCAGCATCCAACAGTCAATAAGCCTCTTGTTAAATATTTAATACTTTCCCACAAACCATTAACAGGGTTAAAATATAATTGGAAATTCAGAGATCTGGTATTCCAACAATCCATTCCCCAGCAATCCATACCCAACGAATTAGCTATCACAACAAATGAATCTAGAATGTTGTATTTTGAAGCTGATTAACCCCTAACTGACCTAGCTGGAAGACACACCCATAAACTCACTACAGTTTCTGCAGTTCAGAGCTGGGCCATTTGGTCTACTTTATGTAGAGGGTGAGGCTATTAATGCCTGACCACAACACTGGAAAAGGTAAACAAGCAAAATAGACCATCAAGAGGAATCATCTAAGAGATATACACTCTTAAATCAGGATGGATTAGAGAATGAATCTCAACCTGCGAGTAATACTGGGTGCAAGAACAAAGAATTAAAAAAAAACCCTACACAAAATCCATGGAGGTTAAAAAAGTGGAATAGAGGATGGTGTAACTAGCTGGAAAAAATGGAGCTGCAGAAGAACCCTGGTGAATAAATAACTGGGGAAAGAAAGCTGTGACCACCTACTGGCTGCCTTCAACAAGACTGACAGCCACCTAGGTGGAGACTATGAAATCCAATCTGCAAAAAATAAGATCAAAATTTATTTTGAGTGCTGAGATCATCACCTCTTACATAAAAGACTTTTTCAGTCAGTCTGACTTGCAGGATTCCCAGACAGAGATTCATTACTTGCACAATGCAATTTACATTCTATTTTCAGAAATCTAGCTTTATGTTAGTAACGGCAGCATGTCCGATTTTATTCTCCAGTGGATGACCAGACAGACCACTAAAGCCTGGATCTTCAACTCTCGCCTGACCCATGAAAACCTTGCATTGGTTACTAATGCCTTTTTGGAAAGAACACAGAAATTCTTCATATGACCGTTATTACAGGATTTTAACATCACTCAGCACATCATCAAATAAAACCTTTGGTTTCTTAATAATATGCATAAGTGCTCTTACCTATGTTGAAAATTTTCCTTAAAAATAATCTATGATGTTTCAAGACGGTTTCACAACATAAAGACAAATATCTGTTTGGTACACAAATACAAATATTATTTTGCTTACTAAGTTTTTTTTTTAACTCTTTATTATTAAGGAAAAAAATTATTACAATTTTTTTATTCCACAGAAACATTACAAGAATTAATTTCATTGCGACACTTGCAACTTTTTTGGTCTCTTCTATACTAGATTTATAACAGTCTCCATCAGAGATACTAGCAGGTAGCCTCACCAGCAGCGTACATGTAATGACAGCAAAAAGAACTGATATCATCTTCACAAAAAGTCAATGCAAAGATAAAATTATTTTGACCAAGTATAAAATAAGGACTTAAATTGTTAAAAAACCCAAAGACATGGTTGTTTAAAATCACCTGAAATAGGCAGGACAGTTGGACCAAACTTGTTGGTACATTTCCTGCATTGTCACTAGTGGTTTTTGGTCACAATCAATACAGTTCTATTACCTTTAGGGTCAATTTAATGTCTGTCTTACAATTTACAATCAGTTCTGAAAGATCAAAGGCTAGAAAAAAATTTTCCTGAAAAACAAAATTAGTAGAAACTTGAGACTGCACACAGTTCAGCAGAATTATAATCCAACTGCAAGTATTTAAATATCACACAACCAGCTGACACGGGAATATTAGAAAAACCTTAAAATGCCAAGACTCAGCATATCGCATATTGCAGTAGAGTGCAGGCTGTTAGAGAGGGAATTTATATTTAATGCAAGATTTGCTGAGAGTGAGCGTACCAGAAATTTATAATTAGATGGTAATGGGGACAATCCTCTTCTGATCAGTTTTACACCAGTAAGGCTCCATTCATCAGTGGTGCTGATCCTAATTTATGCTAGTGTCAGTGCAGAAAGAATTAAGCTAGTGTCCTAGACAGGCCACTTTTTCTCACATCCTAACCACAAACATGAGACAACCTAGAATATTTTTTAAATGCACATGTAAAAATATACCTGTCAATCCATAATAACTAAAAAAAGTTACTTATTTTAGTTAGTAGGTACCAAGATCTACAAGAAGTTGATACTGAGATGCAAAGCGAGTGATGCGACTGCATGTGACATTCCAAGACATGGCCCATAACTTACAGAAATGCGAGAACTTAAGAACTAGATAGATGCTGCAATACATTAAAAAACATTTTGTTCATTCTTTAGTTCTGGAAATTCAGTGAAGCCTACATTTTTGGCCAACCTTTAAATGAAGCTAGGATTCAGCTTTAGGACTTACATTATCATTAAAAATTCCTTCAGAATAACTGCACTGTCTGTTACAGCTTAATACTAAAATATTGAAAGTCAGTAATTAACACAGAAGATTTATTACAAAAATGAAACACAACTGGGAGCTGCAGTAATCTCCTCAAAGTAACATCAGTTCTGAATCAATCACACACACAAAAAAAAGAAATCGGTGGTATCATACAGGCAGATATCTATGAGAAATTTCATAAGGAACAGGTAAGACATCTGAATTAATTCATACCTACCCACTGCAACCAATGACTTTATTATACAGATAAGATGGGAGGCCTTTCAGATGAATATTGTTATCCACATAAACATATTGTAGCTCCCGAGAACGACCTAAATCTGGGTTTAGAAAACAGGAAAAGAGTCAGAGAGAGAAGAGATGCCATAGTGACAATTATAAGCAAAGCAATTCTCTTTAATTATAAATAAGCTAATCGGACTCAATGTAAGCAAACATAAATTAGTCCTTCTCAGTTGTAAAATTTCAGCCAATGATTTTATTATGGATGAGCTGAAAAGCTGTTTAGAAAATAGCATTGAAAATTACTAAAACAAAACAAAACAAAACTCGTTTTCAATAACCCTGAAAATCCCATTATAAATAATTAAATTTTAACATCGATAAACTCTGAAGTCAGTTTGAAGAAGCAAAGGGACAATTGATTTCAAATCTACAGTGCATACTTCAAGTTCATAAGGTCAAACCTGCTTTCATTAACTGGCCTCATGCCACTGAAATCCTAGCTTCCCTATGTTTGGTAAAGTGGTAAAGACATAAACAAGAATGTGGTCTGTCCCACTCTTTCTTTTCTCCAAGAAGAGATACTTGTTTGATTATATTAGCCATAACCAAATACAACCAGTCATCATTCAGAAACAAGTCTGTGTGATGTGGTAAATTACAGAACACAAGAAAATATATAAGCATTAAACTGCAGAATATTATACAACAAAAGCTGTGCCTACAAGTAAACGATCAATACATGTGAAGGTGTGCTGCTTACATTATTTCTCTTGAAATATTCATGGCTGGCAGTCAAAGGAAGCAAGTACAGCATGTTTAAGCAATACCTTCGCAGGCTAGAAATATATTAACATACCTCCAGATATAAGCATACAGATATGGAATAATTTTATTTTGTTTAGAAAATTAAAGTGGGGAAAATGGGGCAAAATTAAAAGGGAAAGTTTAGGCTTCTAGGAATAATTCTCGGAAACAAGACTTTTGCCTATCAGCAAGATCTAGTCAGTGGTAAAACTGTCTGCTATCAAAAGAAATTGAAAACATGCTAATGTGAGACATTTAAGAAGACAAATCAAACCGTGAACTAAAAAGAATAGTCTAAAAGAGTTTTGAACTGGCAAGGAAGCTGACACGTAGGATCATCTGGGCAGCCCCTTTCATCTGTAGGTCCTATGCCATTCGAGATACTGGGTTAGGAAAAGACATATGCGTTCAATACAAAGCACAAACCAAGAGAACAATGTTTGAAAGCCTCTCTGCCTGGAAGGGGATAGCTGCAACCCAGACGAATTGCATTATGAAAAAATATAAAAAAAAAAAAATCTGTATGCCTCTCAACTTTTTAAACTTTTATGAGTGTGTTATAGAAACTAAGCAAGATAAACAAGCATTTGGCTGAATCAGCCACATTGCAAGACGGTACTAATATCGACTAATTCTGACTTCCTATCTTTATCAACTGTCAATTACCTGCTTGGCTTAAAGATAAGGACAACCAGAGGAATTAGCCTACCTTCTGTCCCTTTTGTGATCGTGGCCAAGAACAGAATAAAAATTAAAACAATCTCCATGATATTTCTGTTGAGAAAGTCTATTTGGAATAATGAGCTCTTATCATTCCCTTCTATGACAATAGGTAATACAATCCCTTCTTTATTATTGAATAGTTTTATTGTACAAAAGAGCTCTGGACACCACTTAGTGCAGATAAAGCAAACGATATTCTGAGTGATCCCCCTCCCACTGGCCTCCTCCAATGGCCAAATGTTTGGCCATTTTAAAGTATACTGAATGTCTTCAGCTGTCACCCACTTAAATGGCAGCTGTAAGCACCAGAAACCTTAAAAGCTCAGGCTGAGGAGGAACTTCAGAGGGTACACATTATCAAACCTTTGATATAAAGAACAAGTGATGATAGCAACAGAAAATTAATAGATTCCTTTTCTGAAATAAAAATGTTAACATAAAAACCCTGAGGGTTTGTTTTTTTTTTTCTTTTAATATGGCCCTTGCCGTGCAACAGTCTATGGAGGTTTCAGGGACCATAATCTGGTATTTGTTCAAACCGGAGCCACTGGACGTCAGGGGACACGCTCAACCATCACATGGTTCTTTGACCCTGTCCCAAAGACATTCTAGGTCGCAGAGCTATCTGCTGCATCCATCAAGTGTCCTGCCCCAAGAAGCGAGTACAAATATCTCTGCTGACTGATGGGCACTGCTGTGAGATGCTGCTGTGCATCATTATGAGCTAACACCTCAAAAAGATGATTTATTTTGGCTCAGTATTGCAGGGCTGAAAATAGTTTAGTAAAGTTCTGGGATATTTTTAGATGAAACAAAAACATTGTTATCCTACAATGAATAAAAATATTGCAATACCGAGGCACTATAACACCATAAAATATTGTAAGGCTGGAAAAGAATCAGCCAATAAAATTTAAAGCGGATAGCACGTGCATGGCACACCTAACGCGGAGAGAATATCGCCTCATGTTGCAGAAGCCAATTATACTAAGAAGAGCAGAAAACTATGGGTTGCTGGGGTAGCTTGAGTGTGCTACTGTTTAACTTATTAATTTAGAGAATGGAAGAAAATTTTTAGAAGAGGCTCATCTTGCTCATTTCTACACAGATGTATGCAAATGGGCTGAAAATCAGGCAAGTCAAAAAAAGCCCTAAAGCTGTTCTTTTCATATGCATTGAGGGGGGAGTTAGGCTGCATCTCATCTCTTCCCTCTGTCTTTATCTTATGCTATGTTTAGATTCTAAGTTCTGAGTTGACTGCATTTCCTAGGTAATTAAAGCAAATTTTTGGATGTTAGACAAAATATCTCAGTAGGAAAAATTCAATTCCCAAAGCCAAATAGCCTGTAACTATAAATGTTCCTTTGATACAGTTTCTTTGCATTAAAAAACCAAGCATCTTCTAGTCCCCAAAAGATTTTTTTTCTCCAGTTTCAAACACTATCCATAAAGTTTAAATTTAAATAAATCATCACTTTAAAAAGTTCTTTGTATCCCATCCTCATTAATTTTTATGTCTTATATCAGTCAACAAATATTGTTAAAAGTTCTCTAAAAAACACGCTTCTGAAGAACTTTGTAAAATAAGGAAGCTGTCCATCTATGAAAAGGCTAAAGCTACAAAGAAGGTTTTCATGTGGCTTTTGCAAGCACTGTACTGTGTCTAAAACATTTCCACTTTCCTCCTTCCAGGCTCCCAGATCAAAGACCTTTCTCCCAGAAATGACCAAATGCCATGAGTCCTGAACAAACCCCAATTCTAATTTTTTTCTTTTTCCTTTTTTTCTTTTTCTCCCTTTTTTTTTTTTAACCTCAGGGCCCTGGCATATGCATTCCACATGGCTGAAGATGGAACAAAAGCTCTTGTGTGTCTGCACTGATGCTCTTTTAACCATACTATGAGGGCAAGGACACAAAAGCAGCATATACCAAGGTAGAATAAGACCTTTGTTTACTGTGCACTGATAATTACTAGACCCATTTTCTAAACAAAAAGTGCACATAAAGCCTCAATAAAGTGATATAACACTGAATATTTGCTGTCATAACATCCCCTGTACTGCCAGTACACTTGAGAATTTATGGCCTATTTTAATTATATTTGTACTTTATTACATAAATCATTTTCATTTTTGCTATGTCATCAGACTCAAATTTCTGCTTGCAATGGAATTTGTTTTCAGGCATTGGAGCATTTGCTAATGGTAAAGTTGTAAAGTTAAATTTCTATCAAAGGATAATTTATATTGTAAGTACATTGATATAAAATGATCAGTAGTTCCATCTGCCATTCAACAACAGAATTCCTAAGACCATTTATTAGGGCAGCATGAAAGGTACCCTGACAATAACAGGGCTGTCCAGAATGCAGTTTCCAGTTCAATTTACACACACAATTTATTTGTTGTTTTGGTTTGGTTGTGGTTTTGTTTTTTGTTTTTTTTTTTAAATATATTTATTAGGAAGGCCCAAAGACTCAGATCCATACAGTCTTGTTTCTTTGAATATAAACTGGAATATTCAATAGCTGAAAAATAATAACTTTTTTAAAATACTGGCATATCCAAATGTATTCTGCAAACAAATAACTAATTCATTATTGTTTACCCATCTGCTTGTTTATGTACCAGTTCAGAAAGTCCGAGAGTGGCATCAGGTATTTTTATTGTATTTTGTAAAATTCATTAATAGCATTATACTTTTTTTTCCCTAAGATGCATGTGTCCACAAACTTAAAAGAATGTACAGGACAAAAAACTACATAGTACCTATCCAGCAGTGCTGTGAAAGTACTGTGCTACTGCTGGAATAAATCTTACACCTATCAATCTAGGAACAGGAAAATGCAGATTTCCATTACACTTAACAAAGAGGCTCTACTGGCAGCTACAAGGGACATACTTAGATGAGGAAGAATGGATTCCTTGGCATAGTAGATGTCAACCACCATATGTAATAAATAAAGTAAATCACACTTTAAAAAGCATTAAGCAATATGTTCCAAACATATTTCTTCTAACATGGACACATCTAATAAAAAAGAGAAAAAAATTCTGTCAGGAGCTAAAATGTCTGCTTTTCAACTCAACTCCCTAATTGAAAAAAAATTGTTTGACAATTCTTGCTTGAATATCACTTGTAGATATTTCTACAGTATCTTTCATTGTTATTTAACGTCCTCACGCAGTCATTAACTAGTAAAGTGACGTTGGATGTAAGAATACACACAAAAAAACTTAGCCAACATGTGCAGCTAGCAGAAATAATGCTACAGTTATGCCTTAACTTCAGTAATACTCCAAGAAAAATATTTTCCTATACACCAGAAGATAGATATCATCTTTTTGCTTTTCAATGCACTGACTCTCCCTTCTACTTTATTTCATCACATCTTGACCACTCTGAAGCCCGATTCTTCAGAGGAAGGATTAAACATTTACATTTATACTGTGCTGCTTTTCCTCTGAACTCTACGATTTATGATTCAGTTTCATATCCACAGATAGCAAATTATCTCCAAATGTTCACCAGTGAGTTACTATTAAGAATTACTGAACAAGGTCAATTGACAGTCTTTGATGTTTCCCGTTATTTTAAAAGTTCCTTTTGAATGTTTTGAATTTGAGTCTAAAAATAAAGAAAAAAGAAGGTGTGTCATTATATTAGAGATTTATTTCCTCCTTTTGAACTTAAAACACTTCAGCAGATCTATGGCTCATCCAGGTCATCGCTCACTCACAGATAAGCTACTAGTGCAAAAGTAGCGAAAACTTTTACCCTTTAATATTTCACGTCATCTTATTAAGCAGCACCTTATTTTTGCAAAATTAAAAAGATTCAACTTCTTGTCTCATGAAATGGAGTTAGAAATATTTGCCAAAAATAGGGGAAGTTACTTTGCTTGTTCTAGTTAGTACCGTGGAATCTGGATGATGCATCCTGGAACTTGTTTTCTCATTTATATAATGACATATGTTGAGCCATAACTAAAGCTAATGTCTGGAGACATTATTTGCACTTACTTTCCAGTAATATAAACTAAGGTGCAAAGAAAATCGGAAAGATCATAAGCTTCTTTAAAGACTAACTTGCTAGTACTGAGAGAAATTAAGTTAAACCTATACAATGTAATTAATTTAGAAATTATCATCTCATTTTTAGCCACCTCAATTTTCAGCTTCTTTTCAATGTCATTATCATAACTTCATCTGCACCTAATTAACACCAAACTCTGATTGTATTCTAGAAAACCTACTAATGGCTATTCAAATGACACGACAGATCTGTACGTGTGTCTGTATTTCAGCAGAGATTAGCCCGTGGCAGGGCTAAAAAGTAACACACGTGTGGAAGTGGACTTGCTTTTCACAAACAGAATATACAGTCCCCACTTAACAACACAACTACTTCCCACAACAAACCACCACACACTGACTCCACCTCCTACTCTTAAAGACCTGCTTCGACACTTCCAAACTTCAAAAGGGTTGAGAGAAAGGCAGATAAATTCTTTCCTGTGCTACCACCGTGGAAGTTTCGATGGTTGCCTATACGCAGCACAAACTAAACCTTTGCTAGATTATGCAGTACTGACATTCCTAATGATGAAAAATAATTTCTGTGGAGTTACTGGGATTCCACAGCAGGTTTTAAACCCTAGCTGAAGAATCTTAGTTAAATCATCAGATCCAGCAAACAGAAACAGATCATTACCCAAAGGGGTGGAACTCAGATTACATAGTACTATATTTAAACACAACATCATTTAAACTTTTTTCCCCCTCAGTTAGCTAAAAATAAAGCAAATTTGATAGCTGACCTATTGCTTTAAAACAGACATGAAACCTTAACCTGCATTTTTTTTTCATTAAGATATTTTCCAACAATATGATCACTGTGACAACTCCATAAACAGAGTTTGTAGGGACCACCAAAGAAAATCACTTGTTGCCTTTTTTTTTTTTTTCTTTCTTTTGGGGACAGAAAGTTTGTTTTCCTGTCTCTTCTCTGACCCACCCCCCAGCCCAATGACGGTGGTGACTCACCAAGCGGCAAAAATGCAAGGCGGTTTCCAGCCATGGAGAGCTCATTGAGGCTTGGTAGTTGGCACAGGTGGCGGGGAACATACCACAGGTGGTTTCGGTCTGCGGTCAAGTACTGCAGCGAGAGGCACATATGCAGCCTTTCAGGTAAGGTTATCAACCGATTGGTTGAAATGTCCAGCGTTTGCAGCTCCCTCAGGTCTCCAACCTCTACAATCCAAACAGGAGGCACTGAGAATTATTAATGTAACTATTTTTGCAAACAAGACCACAAAAAAACTCTCACATAAATCGAAAACAAAGATCATCAATTAGCTGTGCTGATTTTCTCTTAAGATACCATTCTATCAATCCGTGTTCAGAACTGATACCAATGATCTCTATCATCTTCATATTTCAAATCTTTTTGATGAGGAACAGTTATCAGTTAGGCAGTATGTTTAAATATGAGATCTCTCAAAAATATCAAGCAGTTTCCTGGTCCTAAATGAGAACTAGGGGGAGAAAAAAAAAACAAACAAACCAACCAAAACCCAAACCAAAACACATTACATAGCTTGCTGTTATTGAGGGTGTTTTGCATGACCCCAAACTCGTGCGAATTCAGATTAAATTTTTTTTTTGTTTTTAAACATTTGAGGATGAAATGCTTATATCCATCTTACTTAAGATTCTCTTGCAATGAGACTTACAAATACATGCACAGCACTTCTTGCTTAGTGACAGTCTTTCACCAAGCATGCTTAGGAACAACAGCTCTGTCTTCATAATACAATTCAAAAGACCTAGTTTAAATTAGAAAAGAAATTTCTTAATAACCTGTAAGTTATATTGTTATGTTATATTGTAGGAAGATATTACAGTAAGTTCTAACCTATAGTTGCACTAATTACAGCTTCTAGAGATTTTCTTTTTTAACATTTTAAGAATTTTAAAAGTACATTTTGTGTTTTAAATAGTATTGTATAATTTTTTATGTAGGTAACAAATGAAGTTCTTAAAAGTCTGCAAGATGTGATCACAAAAGTAGCCTCACTTGTGCAACAGTGTTGTTCCTTGTGTCTGGCCTGGGCGACCAGGATGCACTTCTGTAAGGACTGACTGACAAATATATTAAGCAGCTCTACAGGTTCTCTCATTGTTTATTTAGTTATTCTTTTACAGTTACTCTAAGAACTGTATAATTCTATAAATTCTTTTCCCCAAACACGGGGAAACTGTAAACAGTTTTGCTTTGTTTTTAAATACTTCACAGCAGTGGAACCAACTCACGAAGTGCTTGGTGCCCCTAATTCTTACTGCAGTTCTCAGCATCCTGCAGAACCAAATGTACTTTGCTCTCGGCTGAATGAAACCAGCTCTTGCATCTGATAGCTGCTAAAACAAGATTCACTAGAATTTTCTACACTGAAAACACCAGACAATCTACACAATCCACAATCTGCACAATTTACCGCTCTATCACCCAGATTTTTTTTAAAAAGATATAAATAGGGTAACACTGTTTAAGTTAAAGCTAAACAGAACCTGTTGTGCCCTTAAGCTCTCTCTACAGCAGGAGCTAGAAAATTCGCTGTTCCCTGAGCTCTGAGGTAGCACCTTGTATACTACACCCAAAGAAGAAAACAAAACACTAGGTTAAATTTCAAGCTGTCTTCTACACAATGGGAAAAAGAAATGGCAAATCTGAAGTTGACCTTGGGAAAAACTGCTATAAATGTTACTTTCAAGACTGAGAACGTGAAAAGGAAAAAAAGGGAAGTTATAATTCAGCGTTAGAGATTTTCACGAAGTACTAATTAAACAAAATGTGTGTGCACATTTGAAAGGAACTTCTGCCTGCTGCAAGCAATCCCAGTATTAACTACAACAACAAAAAAAAAAATCAACAACATACTATATGTATCCTTTTATAAAATATTACTGACAGAAGCAGCTGCTATATGTAGATGACCATATTCTTCAAACCTCTTAGTTTTGATGTCAACAAGAATCATAAGCTTTATTTAAGAAGTTTTTTTTTTTTATTACAAGATTGAAAATGAATGGCAAAAGTGAAATAATCACTACTAAATAGCAAAAGACTACTGTGCAAAAGAACTGCAGTAGAACTCATTTTTAAAGAGTTTTATATTCATCACAAACAAAGCCATATGCTTGAAAACAGTGACAGGAAAAGAGCCACCTACATTCGGCCAAACCACTGACCACATGCAGTCAATAACAGGCCTAGCTATTTTCATGCACTAACCTTTTTCTCTGCCACTAAAAACAGTTTTCTAATTCAGTTTAGGTCCAAAATCCCATAAATGTTACGGTTGGCAAAGCTGGCAGAGTTTCAAAGGCATTGCTAGAATGATATGTTTCAAATCTAAGAGGAAATAAAAGTATTCTCACTTTATCCTTCATCCAGAAAAACACATACTTGCCCAGAACTTCATCCTCTCTACCTTAATCTTCCAATGCATACCAGATGTAAACATCCACTTTCAACACACAGTGCCATATGTTACAGAAACACCCACCGACCCATGATGAAGTTAAAAAGTAAACCAAACAGCTTAAAGTGCTATCAGATTAAAGATAGAACCCCCCGACTCCCCACCATATAGTGCTGAAAGCTCATTTTGAAGAACATCCTCAGACATTTACTAACGACACTACATCGGTTTCAATCTCATTAAAGCAAAGGAAAACAATAAAGAGGAATAACACAAAATATAAACAGTCCATTAATACTTTTTCCAAGCTTTTAGTTACTAAATACTATAATCCATGCTTTAAAAATCTTGCAACATAAATACCAAAGGATGCCATGGCTAATAAACGCAGTGAAAGACGTACAAATCTCTCTCTTGCTACCACCTCATCAAGGACTAAGACACATATGAGAGATGGACTTTAGAAATTTCAGGCAGACCCAGAAAAGAAAATGGCTATTCCCAAATAAAAAGAACTGACAAAGAAGGGACTTTTATTCAGAGATCCCCCCCCCCCTCCTTCCCCCAAGGATAAGAAAGAGAAGAGCATTATACATCACCATTAAACCACATTGAGGAGTTCCAGTTACATTTAAATGAAATTCATAAATGTATAATTTAAAATTTATATTAGCTCTAGGATTAACACTATCAAAATCAACATGGCAGAGCATTGAGCCCCATTTTGATATCAGAAGCCAGAAAAAAAATCCTCCGCAGCTTTGCTAAACCCCTAACTCAGAAAGACCCGAGTCCAAACGTGAAGTTCCTGTGCCAGTTCTCGGACCCAAGTGTTTCAGCCGTGTCCATCTGCACAGATTACTGCCTTCGCATGTAGCCGGGCAATTCTGTGGCTTGGCCATATGGTACAAACGTGTTCGTGGCGTAGTACACACAAAGTGGCTGACAGACTGTAAATCCACACACTACCTTACTTCACAGAAACTTAAATGCAGGCTTACAGCCAGAGTCCTGCCTACAGCCTTCTGAAGGTAGTTTCAGTGACACAGACGTACACATCAGCATTCTAAAACTGCTAGTGAGCGAGTACTTAATTCATCTTTTTCATCCTTGATAATATGAAGATTCAGAAGTGATTACTGTAGCTCCAAAAAGCCGCCTTTGCATTCATGGCAATAGCTTTCCTCACCACTTGGAGAAAGGGACAAGTGAACTGTCATCATATGCGTTTGGGTTTTCAAAAGAAAAACTGCCAAAGAGGTTGGTTTCTCAACACAAAGAGAAAAGAAACATCAGCATACCTTTTTTTGTAAAAAAAGAAAGTGAAACCTTGAAAGAATTTCAGGGAATGTCCAAAATTATTGACATTCTAACAAAACTGATTGTATTTGTATAAACATACCTAGCATCAGGAAAAAAGAAAAAAAAAAATCTATTTCTGATTCAGGTGGTTTAAATGCCAGTTTTTTAAATTAATTCCCATGGTTTTACATGAACGAAAAAAAAACATCTGGAAGTAAGCAGCCTATACAACATATAATAATTGCCAAAGGCAATTCAAACTTCCTTAACCTTCTGGGGGTACAGGCCTCACCAGCTGCCTAACTCAAAAATAACTAACAGTTTTATTTACATTTCAAGAGCAATCCCACCTTTCCCTGTTGGGCCATAACCCAAAATTTCATCCAAAGATACATGAAACACATACACAATTGGATTTCAGTGTATGGAAGGCATGGATTTACTTTAAAATCAAATGCTATCTGAGTCTTTCCATCCAAGTTAAGGCAAAAAAGGGACAGGAAAGGGCTACAGACCTACCTGCATGAGAATGCACCTCAAAGCAGGATATTAAGAGAAAGCAGAGAACCTACAAGGAATGGAAAAAGGGACCGATCAGCAAAGAGAGCTGGCACTTAGAGGTCAGGCTGAAATGAAAACTGCCAGGAGGCCAGGAAAATGGGAACTCACAGACAAACAAAAGGTTTCTCAACAAGAAATAAAGAGCAAGAAATGAAAAACTAGTGTCAACAAGGGGTAGAAATTAGGAGGACAGACCAAATATTAAATTAGCTTTTTTCATCATTTTTTCCTGTAAGAATAATGCTGTGTATGAGGACAGAGACCGAATACCTCATGGGAACAAGGACAAAGCACTGAAAATTACCACATCCATTACTAAAATGAAATGAGGCTGCTTAAAAAATTTCCATCCCAGAATACTGAAAAAATGGGTTATATATCAAAATTGCAAGCTCTGGCACGAGGATTCTCAATGAATAAGACATTTTCTGGGATAGCAGCCTAGGGCTGGAGAAGAAACGTAGAACCTGTGTTCAAAAAAGCCCTGTTAACGTGAACTCAGCGCTCTTCAGTATCTTACAGCAACTGTTCTAAGGGGAAAGAGCAACCAAGAGTAGCTAATGACTGGAACATAAATAGAAAGCAGAATGAAAATGCAACCCAGATCTTCCAAATGTAAATCTTGTTATATTGGCTTATCTTTCTTTGATGAAATTTCTTGGTTAATGGTAACACGTGAGTATGACATCTCACAGCAAATTATTGGGATGGAGAAAACATTACTACTGGTGGTGTTCCTCAAGGATCTATTTGTTTAGAATTTCCATTTTCTACCTTGGTTAAAAAAAAAATAAAATACTAGGTTTTGGTTTGCTGTCGACACAAGCATTTAAAGTACTGCTAATATGATGGAGAACCAAATTATCATACAGGAAGAAGAGCAAGAACTTTTAGACTTAAGTGACT